TAGGTTTTGGGATTTGTGGTTTCCAGTGGCTGAGTGGTTGTATGGTTGTATAATATGCCTTTTGGGCCGCTTCGATTTGATGGACTCCGTTGGTTGCGAATGTTGCATGCCCAACACCAGGCAACTCACCTCCTGGCAAAAGCCAGGCACGGCCGGCACCTTCAGCATCTCCGGGACTTGTAGCCCCTGCCCCAGCGGCACTGTCGCGGACCTGGACGGCGCCACGGAGTGTGCGGTCTGTGCGCCAGGCCGGGGTCACCTTGGACTGGCTGTTTTCTCGGGTCCCTTCAAGGACGCCTTGTCCCTTCTGCCCTTTCGAAGGTAAGCCAAAAAGAGTCTGTTTCAGGAGTGGTCTGCCAGGGTTTACACTCCTGCAAAATTCAACACGGAACCTGAAAGCCCATCAGTGGAGGAGTTTCCAGTTGGAATTTTACTTGGGCCACGCTTCAACGAACTGAAACCGCTCGCGCCACCTTCAAAACGGGAAGATCCAATGGGGTCTGGTTGGTTAAACCCGAGATGACCGAAGATTCGTCCTTGTAGCTTTCCTCGGCAACCACCAAGAAACACACGCAGTTCGAGTGAATGTAAATAAATCTATCTGCTTTCAATTAAATTTTAAGGGTTCAAGTCATGTGTCCACAAAAGGGGAGGCACCCCATTCTCTTGGGACGTGGTACTTCCCCTCCGCAACCGCCGGGATCTTCGCGACTCGGCGGCTCGACGAACGCGAGGGCACCGCAGCAGCTGGGACGCCGCCAGCTGCGAGCCCTGCCCTGAGGGGTCCTTCCAGCCGGAGCCCAACGCCTCCGAGTGCCTGGACGCGGTGGAAGGCTCCTCCGAGTTTGGGTCAGGTGGCAGCTGGCTGTGATTTCGGTGTGTGGGGGCAGCGGCACTGAGTTTTAGGGTGAGGTGTTTGGTGGCAGGAACATGTCTGGCACCTCCGCCAAACAGGCAGATGCTTGTTTTCAGATTGTCCTTTAGAGCTAAGGCATTTTATAAGGCAGGCGGGCAGCGGCACATGGGTTGGCTGTTAGATTGCGCTTTTGATGTGGGGAGTCCACTAAAGATCCTTAGGCTTCTCTATTTTGCTGGGCGGGGGTCCTCTTCTTCCGGGGTACTTGCTGGTTCTCGCTATGGAATCAACAGAAGTTTCGGACATGCTTAAAGGAAGCGACAAGGGGAGGATCATAGGGGTCATTCCCTCATTCCCTCTTGGGACTACCCTTACACCCTTGCAGATTATTATGGAACCCGGAGAAGTCTTGATCTTTCGAGCAATACCTTTTTTGGAAGGCAGCGTGTTAGGGCTCCCTATACTTCCGCTTTGGGACGGTTTAAGCTTTACCTTTTTGGGTGGGGTTCTCAATCTTGTTTTTTAGTTTTGAGTGCCGCTCTGACTCTCGGTTGATCTTGGCCTTTGCAGAAGCAATATGGTTAGATGTTTTGGCGTTGAGCCTTGTTAATTTGCCTTATCACTTGCTTTGAAGCGTGTCAAGTTCAAGACGTTTCAGTGTGGAAGTACAGACAAATCCACTTTGTACTGGGTATTATCCCTTTTGGGAGAGGATATGAACGTCAAGCCTCTTGGGATCATTTGGTCGAGGGCACTAAAACGATCAGCCTCTGGTCCGCGTTGAACGGAAAACCACACGAGGCTGTTTTTTGTCCGATGGCTCTTTCTACTGGGGGGCAAGCTAGCTACTGGACTTTCTACTGGAAGTCCCGCGGTTTTGGTCTGTATTTGGTCCAATTTCCTGCCATTCATTTCTGCCGGTTTCCATGAACATGTGTTTTACAACAAGTCCCGCCATTTCAAGCCAGTACATGTCATGCCATTTCCAAGCCGTTTCATGAAATCCATTTACAATCCATGTGTTCCCCCGCCACATTTCCCGCCACTTCAAGGGGAACCCATAGGGAGGTTCGTTTTTTTTTCTTTTTTTCCCCAGGCAAGGGTCTCAAGCGGCGCATGCCGAATGCAGGCGCGGACTTCCAAGGCGCGGGCCTGGTGACCGGGGTGAACCAGGAGGGCTTCTGGACTCGGAGGAATCGGCCGGGATGCCCGGGTGGCGGCTCCTTTGGGTTTCCTTTGGGTTTCTTTTGGGTTTCTTGGTCAAACCATCCACGGCTTGATCCCCATCCAAATCGAGTCGTCCAGATCCATGAAGGCGTCGGGGTTCTTCAATCTCAAAAGGACGCGAGGGGGTGGGTGTTGGGGGGTTGCGGGGCTGTAACCATACCTATCTTGGCTCTTTTGGGGTTGACATGCAAGAGCAACCTGGTCAGCAAATAGGCAGGGGGCAGGGGGTCGGGGGGGCGGGGGGGCAGGGTTGTCCTTGGATTCTTTGTGAGAATGGCAACATGTTCTTTATCAGGGTTGCAAAATCAAAACAATCTTTGTGGTCTCAACCAAGCTGATTCTTTATGGCCTCCACCTTCGGTTTTTGATCCTTTTTACCAAATCCACCCAACCCAACAAGGAAGGGGTGTAGCGTTAACCCTTTTTTGGTGGTTGTTTGCTTCTTTACGGGATACAACAACCAGAAACTCCCTACTGTGGATGGACGAAATCCTGCATCACGTTGAAACCATGGGAAACCACTGTTCGTTGGTATTTACGGGGGGAATCGTATCATTCCAGGGTTTCTGGGTTTCGTAAAGTGGTGCGACATGGATTTCGTTCATCCGTATGCTGAGACCACTTGAGGCCGCTGTCGGCGCCCTCGGTGAGTTGGGAGCCGTGTCGCGTGCCCGGCGCCTGCCTCCGCAACGAGCGCTGCGCCGTGGGCGCCTGCGGCGCCCAGTGCCAGAGCTGCCTCCCCGGCCACGTGCCCGCGCCGGACCGGGACCGGGAGGGGCGGAGCGCGGATGGAGGATGCCCCGTTGAGATGTTTCAAGGCGGAAACCAAGACACGGAAAACCGGGGGGGCGCTTCTTTTCTAGGCCATTGCATTCAAGCAGGTCATTTTCTTCG